ACCGATTACAGTATCCAAAGCTGGAACATTGCCAAACCTTCCTATCCGATACGGTATCGGAGCTGGCTCCCCGCTCCTCAGTCAAACTGTCGCTTTTTCCTTGGTCAGCTGCCGCCGGAGCTTTCGACGAATACGGTAGCCGTGATGATGACGACGACGATGGTGTTGATGACGTCATTTGGACGTGAGCCAATAGCGCCTTCGAGTACGTTAGGAAGCGCCTCGAGACCGTGAACGACGGCCGCACCACACCAAAACTCATCGTTTTCGCAATGGATTATAACTGAAGAAATGAAATGGATAGACGAAAAAAATTTTGAGCTGTTATATTTTTTGCATTTGAAAATTCGAATGCAAATTTATCCGTCAGCACGAAATCAACAACCACCATTACCATATAAATCAACAATACCATAATAATTATTACAATAATAATAATAACAATAATAATAATAATAATTATAAAAATGATAATAATAGTAATAACCATAATAACAATAATAAATATAGATATACTTGATCAGTAACAATAATAATATATATTTTGTCATAATATTTATTCTGTCATAATAATACTATATAATATACAATACAATATTTATATAATATTAATATATAATAATATATACAATAATAAAAACAATAATAATAAATATATTGTCTCCAATACTATCTACCGTTCCAATCCACCAACCACGATGCTCTTCATAACATTCCAAACTTTCAAATACTAGTAACAATAATAACAGTAGTAACATTAATAATAATAACAATAATATTAATAATAATAATAACAATAATAATAACATTAATAATAATATATAATAATAATATATAATAATAATATTAATAATAATATATATTGTTAATAATAATAATATAAATCGTTCCCAACCATCTCCACGATGCGTCTCATAACATTTCAAAATTTCAAGCAACACTGGCTATACGCCAATATTTATATAATANCCCAACCATCTCCACGATGCGTCTCATAACATTTCAAAATTTCAAGCAACACTGGCTATACGCCAATATTTATATAATAGTAATATATAATAATAATAACAATAATAATAACAATACTAACAATAATAATAGTAATATAATATACAGTAATATCGATAGTAATATACTAATATAAACTAACAAAGTAATATCAACCATTCCAAGCCCTCTACCACGATGCTCTTCATAACTTTTATAACTTTTAAATACTACTAACTAAACGTTAACTCATACTCAGTAATCACTACCCAATACTAAATAATAATCAATACCCATTCACTCCCTCTATCAACCCAACTCAACACTCTAATATCATATCAACACACAACATTACGTTCTCTATTATATAATATATAACTAAACACATAGAGTAGAGCAGAGAGAGATCGATAGATCACATTATGATCACATTATATTCACTGATTGATCTGATCGGAAAGGAGATCGATGGATGACCTTTGACCTGACCTGGTATTACAATCTATTGTTAAGGGCAAATTTGTTTGTGT